GTTCTGGCTACCAGAAGAGGCTCCTGAGGACCAGAAGTAAGCACATGTCACTCCAGTCTTCAAGAAGGATGATCCAGGGAACTACAGGCCGGTCAGCCTCACATCGATCCCTGGGAAGGGGATGGAGAAAAACCTCCTGGAGGCCATGTCCAAACATATTAAGGAGAAGGTGGTGACTGGGAGTAGTCAGCATGGAAGTACAAAGGGGAAATCAAGCCTGACCAATCTGATAGCCTTCTACAATAAGATGACTGGCTCAGTGGATAAATGGAGAGCAGTTATTATTTATCTTGCAAGGCTTTCGACACTGTCTCTTGTACAAAATCCTCATAGACAAAATTATGAAGAACGCATAGTGAGACAGTGAGGTGGATCAAAAACTAGTTGAACTGCTGGGCTCAAAGGATTGTGATCAGCAATGCAAAGTCCAGCTAGAGGCCAGTGATGTGTGGTCTACACTGGGGCCAATACTGTTTAATATCTTCATTAATGACCTAGATGATGAGATGGAGTGCACCCTCATGCAAGTTTGTAGGTGTTACAAAACTGGGAGGAGTAGCTGATAGACTGGATGGCTGTGCTGCCGTTCAGAGGAATCTTGACAGTCTGAAGAAAGAGGCTGTCCTGGTTTTGGCTGGGATAGAGTTAATTTCCTTCCTAGTAGCTGGTACAGTGCTGTGGTTTGGATTTGAGATGAGAACAATGTTGATAACACACCGATGTTTTAGTTGTTGCTAAGCAGTGCTTACACTAGCCAAGGACTTTTCAGCTTCCCATGCTCTACCAACTGAGAAGGCTGGAGGTGCCCAAGAAGCTGGGTGGGGGCACAGCCAGGACAGCTGACCCAAACTGGCCAAAGGGACATTCCATACCATGTGACGTCGCGGTGAGCAATTGCATCGTGCATCACTTGCTTTGTATATTCTTTTATTATTATTGTTATTATTACTACTTTATTTTATTTAAATTATTAAACTGTTCTTATCTCAACCCACGAGTTTTCTCACTTTTACTCTTCCGATTCTCCCCCCCATCCCACCAGAGGGCGGGGGGGAGTGAGCGAGCAGCTGTGTGGTGCTCAGTTGCCTGCTGAAGTTAAACCACGACAGAGGCAAACAGGAACCTCATGAAGTTCGATAACAAATGCCAAGCCCTGCGCCTGGGGAACAATAACCTCAGGCACAAGTGGACACTGGGGATCGACTGGCTGGAAAGCAGCTTTGCAAGAAAGAACCTGCAGGTCATTGTGAATAAAAAATTGGCCATGAGCCAGCAATGAGCCCTTGGGACAAAGATGACCCACAGCCTCCTGGGCTACATTAAGAGCATTGCTAGCAGGTTGGTGGGGGGCATCCTTCCTCTTTACTCAGTACTGATAAGATGCATCTAGAGTGCTGGGCTCCCCAGTACAAGAGACGCACTGACACACTGGAGCAAGTCCAGCAAAGGCCCACAAAGATGATTATGGGATGGAAGCATCTATCATATGAGGAGAGGCTGAGAGAGCTGGGACTGTTCAACCTGGAGAAGAGAAGGCTCAGGCAGGATCTTATCCATGTGTGCAAACAGCTGTTGGGAAGAAGCAAAGAAGATGGAGCCAAACTCTTCTTAGTGGTGCACAGTGAAAGGACAAGAAGCAATGGGCCACAAACTGAAATCCAGGAAATTCCAACCGGATATCAGGAAAAAAAAAAAGCAAAGACCACACACTTTTCTACTGTACGGGTGGTCAAACACTGGAACAGTATTGCCCAGAGAGGGTGTGCCATCTCCAGCTTTGGAGATATTCAACATCCAATTGGACACGTCCCTGAGCAACCTGCTCTAGCTGACCCTGCTCTGAGCACGGGGGTTTGACAGGACGATCTCCAGAGGTGCCTGCCAGCCTCAGCCATTCTGTGATTCTGTGAAGAGACAGGAGGAAGGAAGAGACTGGCCAGCACCTACCATCTACAATGTAGGCTTAGCTTTAATCCAAAAGTGAGTAACCCTCCCTGTACTAGACATTTTGCTCATATCTGAATACATCAGTTGCAAAGGCAAACTGATGTTGTTGTTACTCCATGAGGGATTAAAAGCTAATAAAACTATTAGCTACACAATTTATCTAATAGTGCTTGTACAGCTGTTTGGCTTATTTTATTTTATATATTTGAATCAACTAAATTTGATTTGGTGATCAGACAGGAAGTAACATTAACATGATTTCTTTATGTTGCTGCTATTGTTTTAACCAGAAATCAAGTTCTAGCACATTGAGAACAGAAAAGATTGAAGACTTCTTTCCTAGATGTCTTCATACTTGACTGAAGCTGTCTTTGCAAAAACAATAAATCCAAGTCTGTGTCTTGCTGCAGAGCAAATTTTTCCTCAAAACATTACTTCTTGAAGAAAAACTAGAATATAGTACAGAGAGAACAGGTCTGAAGTAGTATGCCTACCCAATAATCATTCAAGAGCAGAGCCAGAAGCTCATCTCCCTTCCGATTTTTACGTTAAGGTAGAACCACGGGTGCCAGATTGAATATGGGATGTTAAGGCTTGAATGTCCCATGAGGTCTGGACTCCCTTCCTCCCTTCCATGTCTATCACCAAGAGTTATCAGAAGCAGCTGTTCCATACCAGTTAAATTCTAGAAATAAGATTTGCAGGAACACCACAGGAAGATGTACCAATAATTATCATCTCTTCTTACCACTCCTCCCTTTAACCTTCCACAGATGTCTTCCTAATCAGGTATTTATACTATGCTCCATTACTCATTGTATTTGAGCTCATAAGCCAGAACGAGTCAGAACAACCCGAACCGAATGATTGGCTAAAAACCAAAATCTTCAGCCACAAGTAGATTTTGTGATACCAAACCAAATTCATTGAGTTTAAAAGAAAAATCAAGATCCATTTAGTATTGTGTTCAATGAAAGAACTTCTGTTTCAAAAACCACCATGGTGGCTCTGGCCTTTCTCTCATTTTGGCCCTTCACAATTTTTTCTTAACCTAAAGGTTAATTACAACACTTAAGTCCCCAAATGGGTGATACAGTTTTCAAAGCCTACTCCTCAAATTAGCATTAATCTTTTCAATGGCAACTAGAAATTATTTTAATGTATGAAAGAGCTGTTACAGCATAATTATCTGTCTTAGCGCATAGACATCTGTCCCAAAAGCAAAAATGTAAATACTTATTTTCTGTTAAATTAATGTGGGGCACAGCACAGAAAGACTGAAGAGGTCAAACGTGCCTCTATTTACTTGTTTCCTTTTGCTATGGAGTTTTGGTCTCACATGTATGAGACCCTTGTATCAGATCCACTAGATGGTGCAATCCATCTTCTCCATTAAATGCATTTGAAGTTTATACACATAAGTAGCTAATTTTTAAAGAGGAAAAAGTCAAACTTAATGCTAATCAAGGAAAGGTTTATTACTGGAAGAACAAGGCGCCAAACAGAATGTAGGGGTTCAGGAAAGACCTAGGCTTGAAACTCATATAAGCTAGCAGCCAACATCTCCATTTTCAAGAGAAATATGATTTCACCCAATTTCAGAGTACATAATGAGGTTCAACAAAATTTATATCACATGAAAAAAACCTAATCAGAACGGCATGCTTTAAATGATCTAAGTAACATCACAGGGAAATAATCAACCCAATAGGGGGCTAGCAGATTTACTGACCAATAAGAATGGTATTCAGCAGCATGGTAGTATTCAAAACAATGTAAAATTTGTCTTAAGTACTTCAGAGGTAAAAACAGTACCCACTAAGACCAGCATCCCACAGCTACATTCTGATATCTCCCTTGTTATCCATAACCTTGACCTAAAGCTGGTTAGCTTTTCACTTCTGATTCTAATTCCCAGTCTTGGTAAGGGATTAAGGCAAGATACAGAAATAGAAAAAATTACTCCCAGGTAAGGAGGTGATCTCAATGACAGACTACAGCCTTGATCTGGATCGCAGCCAAATTTTATTTCAGCCCTCACCAAGTTCCCAGATGTTTGAGGTCTGTCGAATCATTGAGGAAGATTCTGTACTGCTTATTACTTTCTTGGTAAGTGACTACTTACTACGAAGAACTGTGTGCACTGCCAAGACAAGTCCTAGACTAGAAAGCAGGGTACGTGTTTCACTGGGCTCTCAGAAAATGGAACAGGTGCAGTGCTTTCTGCTTGGCAGGCTTAGTGAAAATTAGTAGACCTTCAAAAAGTAATTTATTAGTCCTCTCCTGGCAGTTTTTGGTGGATTTTTACTCTCAGCAATTCCTACTTTTTCTTCTCAAACAAGGTGTTCTTTTCACAGGGCAATGAAGACTGTTAATTGACATATTCTGCAACAGTTGGAAATGTACTTTCCTGCAGCCTAACAATAAGAAAAAAATTAAGTAATTCACCAACATCAGTGACATATTTTGCAAAGGATAACCCCTAAAATTCAAAGAAAAACTGATTTTTTTTTTCTTCAAAGCAACATACATGGCATGCTAATACATTAGAAAATTGATACCAAATTCCATTTCTTCTCTACGTTATGAAAATAGCTCTACCAACTGTGATAAGGAACTACAAAACAATACCAACTTTGCTAAAATTAGCATAATATTTCTTAACTGAACATGTTCCTTGTGGGCATTTTCCTTTCGGAAAACATTCATTTGGAATAAAAAAATCCTCATGGAAACACATCTGCCATGACGAAATGTGGTCTAAAATGTCACTGGTTTTTTGATGATACGTCAGCCTAGTGCAACAGAAATATTTTAGTTCTTCATTTCACTTAAGAATTTTAAGCATTTTCAGAAATACCTACATCTTGCTTAATAATCTATATAGTGTAAATAGAAAGTATGGAATGAAAAGATGGAAAGTTAGCCTAGAAACTTACTCATTTATATGGAAGTCACCACTCACAGTACATTTAATAGTATCTTTACACAGAGATCATCCATAATGCTTTTGCCCGTTATTATTTTGTGTCATGCTTGCATACACCACTGACCTTATGAAGCGCAGGAGCCATTACTGGCACCAAAAATCCATTGTAAATGTAATTCACAAGCTGGTTACGTATCAAGGGATGTGCCACCTACAAGGGTGGGGGAGAGAAGGACACAGAACAGTTCCAGTGAGATTTAAAACAAGACGGGGCACAGACTACTATTAACCACTACCAAAACCCTTTCCCGTTTAACAAGACATGTTCATTTGTCCTTCTCACCAGCATTTGCTATGATTCAGGTTCTTAAAGATTTTTCCTTCTTCAAAGAAATACACAAACAATGTTTAATTACAGTAAGCCTGCCAAATTTAGAGAACAGGGCTTTTCAATCTTCCTGCATGCTGACAAAGATGAATGGATGGACAGAAAAGTGTGTATACCCATGCATCAAAGGAAGATTTGACATTCTAAATTTAGCTCCTGCAACCTCATCAGGATCACTTGAAGGTGGATTTGCCATTGTTAACTTGTCCTCTTACAAGAGAAAAGCAGAACAGCTGCTTTCCTCTGGTTCAAGAGTAGGTAAACGAAAGCGCTTGCTAGCTATGGGGTAAGAACATACTGTTCACATGCCCTTCTCCCAACCACTGTAAAACAAACAGAAATGAAAACAAAACCTACATTATTCATTCAATAGGTTAGTTAGGAGCTTTAAAAAATGAACTGTTATTAGAAGCCAAAAATTTACTTTTATAATGAAGCATTCATTTTGTTTTCACAAAGAAAACATATTATCAATTCATATATTTAAAAGAAATTTGATAAAAGCAAAAAAAAAAATCCATTCAGAAGCATTCTAAGTTAATATATTCCGTCTGAAGTTCACACAGAGACTGGAATGTCACAGCCTATATGTGGCCACAGATATATTCTCCCACTTGCAATTTTTCCCAGACTTCCTTTAATTTGTAACACTTACTTTGGAAAGGGGAAGAAAAAGGGTTGCCCTTCCTATGCTGTGACCCAGGGAAAAAGTAGTAAATGGCAAGAAGTCTTGGCTACACTGTTCCTTTTTAATCTCTGGCCAAAGTTTTTGGGTCAACACAGAACAAGCCACACCACGAAAACCATGCCATGCACAGAGCAAAAGTTCCTGCAGTAACTGAGCTTTCACAATTCAGCTGAAGAAAGACTATAAAGACACGATCAAGCAGCAGTCAGAAACTGCTCTTTCTGCATGTCAGCTGAAGATCCTTAACCATTTTGAGTTCATTTGAAAAGTGGTTTTAAAATAATATACTCCTCTTTAATTTGTCTACAGCATCCTTTATATCAATTTAAAAAAAACAGGTATCAAATATGACCTCCTGCAAATGTAGATCTGTAGAAAAACTCCACTTAGACACCAAAATGAATATTATCTCCTCTTCACATTTAAACATGCATGTTAAAAATCTTGTATATTGCATTTAAAGAATGACAGCTACTATTATTTTCGCTTGTTCAGTGCTTTAATAGTCAATCAGTTGCTTTACTGCATTTTGCACACGTCTCACTAAAACATCTTTTATTTAACAGTAAATGTGACTAAATTTTCAATCCTATTCAGGACATTTCTTCAAGTAACACATAAATCCACAGTTTCTGTAGAATTTATATCATGTTTTAATAAAATACTGGACAAGGGTTCCATAGGGTTTTCTAGCCTTCAAAACAATATAAAAAGACAAAAATCTCATTTTATGTTTAGATCAGGGAAAAAAAAATAGTAAGGTATCAAAGCCAGAAAAAAAAATTATAATCAAGAAATAATCATTAAGAACAGAGAGTGGATTCAAAACAGGCCAATCTAAAGTGAATTTATATTTCTAGGAAGATATCTAAATTCTGCTTGGAAAGCTTTCTTTATGCAGTACTCGCCAACAGGCAAAACAGACTATTTTCTTTTGTATGCTATTATGAGAGCTTAGACAAAGACAGAATGTTTTTCAGTGCTTAAATATAGAAAGATTACATTTTCCCACATGTAAAGGCATTCAATTTACTTTTAGTATAAACAGTGGTATTAAAATGCAATAAACATTTATTTATTTTTTCTTAAACAGAAAATCCTCCCAATTACATAATGAAATATCAAGCCGCCACACAAATCTACTGCTTTCATTTGAAACATTTGTCACCTGAAGAACATATTAATTCATCCTTATAACCAGGACAAACATCAGAAAGCATTCATTTTATAAGCAACTTATTTTAGTGTAACTTAAAAAGTCCATGCCATTAATGGAAGTAAATAAACTCTATAATTTACAAACTTCTGCAGAATATATAAAAAACTACTACTTCAAAAGGACAGGCCAGCTCTGCTCCATTACCTGTATCACAGCATTGCAAAATTCAAGGGAATTCATGAATTGTACAAGGGCTGGTGACAAGAGCCAGTCATCTTTCAGCAGACAGTGCCACTCTTCTCCTTTTTCTTCCAGCTTTGTAGGCAAAGATGAATAGAGGCCACTTAGTCCTGTTGCTAGCACCTGTATTTCAAAAACAGAAGAGAAATAAGCTGACTTTCCAACTGTCCATCTGCTTGAATGGCAATGCCACAAATCGTTTCTCTTACTAGTTTTAGTAACAGAAGAGAGTGTTGAGATTAATTTCTTTTCCTTTTGAGAGAGTCCTGTGGCAGAAAGACATGAATATTTTAAAGAGCCTTCCATATAATATCCTTCTTCCAAGAGCTGGTATTTAGGAGAAAGTGATGGGGAAAAGCAGGTTGTCTTATATTTTGTTTTTAATCCAAAGTTATAATTTCTTTTTAAATACTTGTAAAATCATTTTACACTTTCCTTCAGTCCCTTCCAGAAGAAGCCATCACTGTCATCTATCTACAGCTTGTCTTTTGTTGGCAATTTGAATGTTACTGCTTACACACGCCTACATGAAGTGATTTCGCTTGGAAATACGAAACATTAGAAATGGAGGGGGAAAGTGCCCCTGTCAACAAAAATGAAGTTCAGCCTCACGTAGACCACAGATATATGTTGACTTTCATTCCTAGGCACTTGAACTCACCTGAATCCACTTTAAAAAAAAAAAAAATTCTAACTGTTTGTAATTTCTCATTTTCCTTTCTTACTTATCTGGAAGGGGGAAGGGAAGAGATAAAAAAGCCTGAAACAAGTTACTGTATAGACATTGTTTCCAGTGATATTAAGGCTTACAGATGATTTGTGTAGAATATATCACTGCAGCACAAGAGTGTATTTTTTGTTAAAATTTAAAAAGCGTATTTCCAAAAAGTTTTTTTAAATTTTACTGAATATATCCAGAGTATTGGTAGCTTCAGACCAAGTTTTTAATTATTAAAGTTATTTGAAGCTGGAAACTTTCTAAATATTATGTACAACTCTCATCCTTCTGACATGATTTTATACAACTTCAGGATAATTTTTAAGATGCTCCTCATTTTAATGGGATCATTAAGACTCAGCCTGGTGGAAATCTTTTTAGTTTTCATTCAACAGACCCTTGTAAGAATTTTTCCTCTTTCTACAAAGGGCTACTTGGCAGCTACAGGGCTAGACAGTCAAAGCTCAGATGAAACACAACTGTTTTATCTATTAGAAAACAAACAGTTGACAATGTGCAGGTCAAAGACCAAGAGTTCACAGAAGGGGATTCAGGTTTTGATCATACACAAGCGTAACCAATTATAATTGCTAACCCATCCAGTCAGACGAAGGCTGTCTTTCTGAATTCTTTCCATTCCTAAATCACATAATTTTGCAGATGGATTTATTTTGGCATACATAATTAAGCTAATTATTAAGGGGGGGAGGGAATACTGTGGAAAATTCACTGCTTTAGCACACTGTGCTACTTTTTTATACACTTATATACATAGATATGTAAAGAAAAATGCTGGAGATACGTTAAAAAGCTAAGAAGCTAAAGCCATTGAGCAAAGCTTTATTTGTACAATGACATTCTTCTATAACCAGAATCTTTTTTGCTTTTTCTCTCTCTCACAGTAAAAGAGGTCAAAGCAATAAGTTAGGAAGATCTTACTAGGCCTATAGAACTACTTATACGTAACCCACACACACACTTACACTCACAAACCCAGGCTTCGGACGATTCTAGGAAGGAAAAAATTCTGAAGAGAGAACTTGAGTTTCTTTTGTGTTGCAACCTGTTAATTAATGCACACTTGATTTTCCATTGTCTGCTTAAAATTTAATTGCTATTCATAAACACATACTTACCCTCTCAGTAAGCAACCTGATTTTCAGAGCTGTGTACTATCCACATTTCTCCTTCATATGGAAGTTTAGTCCTTAAGCACAAGAAACCAACCTTGAGCAAAACATACTACTCTCCACTAAAAGGAGCAGTGAACTCACAATCAGTCAATGTCTTGAAGTGAAGAATTCTTTAGTTTGTCTGACTTACTGAAGTACGAAGTGACATATGTAGCTGCTAAAATCCGTAAAGTTTAGAAAGCTCTTATTTTTGCTATGAAGTACAACACAAATGGCCCTATGTGAAATTATGTTTCTAAAGCACTGAGACAGAGAGTAGCAACTGGAAGCAACCTCTAGGTAAAAAACATCTGAAAATTTTCATAGAAGTATATGGTATAAACAGGATTACCATTTGAAATTACTAACAGAACTCTTCACATTCTATAAGGAAGCATATAAAATAATGCACATATATAGACTACATTATGGAGTTTTAATCAGTAAAATTATAAATATCAATGAAAAAAAAATCTGAAAGGGAAAGAAATGAATGAGTTCACGTCCTGGAAGGGCAAGATTGGTTTTATTTTTTGTTTTATCCAAAGCAGTGTCCTTTTAAACTTCTCCCAACATTTGTCAAGTCAACCCTACATGCTCATCTACTCTTACAAGCATCTCCAGCAGTTTCTTTCTCACCATTGAGTCATGAGTCTCTCCGCAAACCAGTCTTCCTGATTTATTTACTTTCTCTTGACTCACAGAAGACACTGACTGACTATGTGATTTGTAATCCCAGACACACTATATGATTAAAATGTGTTGTTAATATATAATCAATTGCTATCTGGCCAATTCCTTTCCTTTAATAATTCCCTTTCCTCCCACATCCATTGCCTTTCTACCTCTGTGAAGCCTCAACTTTTCAAGGACATTGCAGAGCCATACCTCCTTGTCCTGCTTTAATACTTGCTTTCTTAAGCTGTGAGGTATTTACAAAAACAAAGTTTTATGGAGAGACTTTGAGATGCTATCCTGCTCAAAATTCTTCAGAAACATTTTTTTCTTATTTTAATACTGAACAGACAATACTTTCAATCAGATTCAGAAAACTTTCAGGTCAAAACATGATAAAAAAATGATACAGCAGAAAAATCTCTGTAAAATCAGAAAACTTTGCCCAATAGTTTGTCTACACATTCTGTGTTAAAAACATTTGTTAGTGATGTATCTTACTGCAGCCTGTCCCCTTCCTTCTTTATAGTTTATTCACCTACAGTTTTGAATACCATGGACAATCTAGTTTTAAAAAGCTGCTAACCAAAGTTAGCTCAAAAAATAGTATCAACAAAGCCTTCAGGTTCATTTTGGCACAGATCTAACACTGATTCAGGTATATGAGGCAGCAGAGATTTATGGCCAGACCCCATCCCAGGGCATGTCTATACTATGCAATAAGGCATGGTAAAGAAAACCCTATACGCTACCAACCAACTCGGCCCCAGAACCAGAGATAGCATCAACACAGTGCCACCCAAATGCCACTCCTATCAGCACAGAACTGCGCTAGCTGTTTTGCAGAGTAGCTGAGGCCACATCTGCACTGATTCGAGTGATATACAGCAATGCCACTGACACCTACAGAGCCTTCCACCAGAACAAAACCTGTTCCTTCAGCTCATCACACTCAAATTCAAAAAAGATTTTGTGCTAGTGAGCTAATTCTATGGCATTGCATTAAAGTTTTATTATAGACGTAGGCCAGTCTCATTACTGTTCAGAAAAGTCTGATTTTAGCACATTTTGACAAGAAGCTTTCCTAATTAGAATGATTGTCAATCATGGCTCCCTGCTGTTAGAAGGTTAATATAGCTGGCTTTTATCTTCAGTGTAAAAAGGCTACTTTTTTTTTTTTTTTAATTAATTGGAAGATGTAATTAGGGAAGTTATAGCATGGATCTAATAATGGTATCTGTCTCAGGGACGGTTTGAGAATCAAGTTCATATTCTTTAGCAGCATCTATTAAACAAGGTCAACTGGAGTCTCTCAGCACAAGAAATTCGATGCAATATTTACAACTGACAAAGGAAATAATTTAGAAGTTTTGTTTTGGAACTTGTAGGCCTCCTTCAACCTGCAAACCTGGCTCTTCCCTGCTGCTCAAAGGACATAGCAATCTCAGAGTAAATGGAAACTTACGGCTGGAATAGCTGTCATGCACTAATACTTAAGGCAGCGATTCTAGTGCTCTGTGCTTTAAAGCTCGCTGCTTTAGTAGCTATGTAAGGCTTCCCTCACTTCATTTTTTCTGGCATTTATTAAACTAAAATGCAAGCCATGCAGAAGTTAAAAGAATCAGTCCAAAAACTGGCACACAAGACCAATTTTTCTACAGAATGATATTTGGTTTTGAACCCATCCATTGCAGATCTCAAACTGATTTTTGTGATAACACATGAAGAAGCAGGTGTTGTCATGTGCATTCTGCTTCAGCTTTAAAACTGCAGTAGGGCAGCTTTGTTTGTTAAATTAGTTTATTTACTTGTTTAACAGCAAAGGTTTTCTGTTCATGTAATAAAATTGATTTGCCAGATCTAACAACGCAACACTACTACCAAGTTTTGTAACAGAGTACAACACAGCAAGATGGTGGTATGCCCAAGACAGCCCTAGAAACGTCCAATTCTGTGACACAGAGCAAGTCTCCCTTTTATCTTCCAAAAATATTACATTTCTATAACACTCACACTATTTCCACTCTTATTTTTTGAACTGTTGAACTGATGTTATAGTGTGGCAAGCACAGCCCACCTAAGCTAGCACTGCCACCAGAAACAACAGCCTCAGAACACCTTGTTCCCATTTCTCACTCCCTTCACCCCCAGAATCTCACAGGGGCCTCACAGTGAGACAGAACAGGTTTCCCTCCCACCAACTTCTGCTGTAACTTCCATCAGTTTCCCAATTCAATTCACTGTGTGACTGCAAAAACACTTGTGCTGGCCCCAAAGCACAAGACACTGGTATGGAAACAAGGAGCAAGACTTCATTTGGCAGTAGGGCTGGCTTAAACAGCATTATAATTTGTGAAATAGCTGTTAGCTGAAACAAATGTGTTACAATGCATCTTTATCAAAAATGACAGAAAAGGATGAGGACAATACAGGGAAGACAGTTAGTTTAGCACTGAAGATCAAGCAAACCAAGAACAACTTACCGGGCAAAAATAGGTGTTTTCTGCTATGTGGTTTGCAACAACGTTGTTTTCTGCAGACAGAGACATTATGAAAAGCAGCGCATCACGGGCCTGTTGGCCTACTGTTCCTTCTCGATGGATGAAGGGAATCAGCAGGGAAAATATGAGGAAATTGGCAGCTCCTTGGTCCTCGCTGGTATGGAAAAACAGTTCTAAAATGGAGGGATCTTTGGCTATTATAGAGCAGAGCTGGTTCAAGAGGATGACCAACTCTGTTTCCACTGTTGGAGTGGTTGTTCCTGAGCAGGAACTCAGCAACATCATCAAAGGCTTCAGGATGGGCTTGTGGTGCAGCAAAGGCTGATGAGACTGGGTTACTAGCATTTCATACATTTTGAGTTGCTCAATTTTTGTCTCATCGGTGAACTCTCGCCGTAGGCTCCAAAGAAAAAGCTTCTCCATGATGTTTTCTGAGACCACAAACTCCAGAATAGGCCCCATTGAGGCATCCTTTGCTTGCTCCTCAATTAATAAGAAAAGCATGTGCTCTACATAATTCTGAACAGTGCTCGCCTCATCAGGTGAAATTGCCCCATACTTTGCCTGAGTGTTTTTCAAAGGATCATGCTTCTCTAAGATTTTCAGAACCTAAAGAGAAACAAATGCAGATCAGTTATTTGAATGTCTTTAAAAAAAAAATGCACTTACCCCTATAAGGAATAATCCATGAAAATTCTTTATACAGAAAGTCCAAACTCTTTTTACGCTTTTAGTTTTTGTCTGTCAAGCTTTCTAAATTTAAAAGTTTCACATTTGGGATGTATGAGGCCAAAATGTAACACTTTTGTTCACTTCTATAAGCACCTAAATTTGCCACTTGTCCTATTGCAGAAAACTTGGGGTTCTCTGAAGTATAGATAAACTAGGCTCCCTTAGCCTTCAGAAATTGAGTTTCAATGATGTTTGCAATAAGTTTCTTTGTCACAGAGGACTGAAATCAAAAGGCCTGCTCTTCAGCCAGAGTAACTGTGCTCAGGAGTATCGATATGATGAGATGACTTGCAGTAGTAAGAGTGGCAGAAGCCCACAGACCTGATCTTTCCTTGCCACATCTTATATGATACCAAATGGCCACTGATACCCACATACTCTTGCAACATTCAATATAGATTTAGGATTGAGTAACAATTGTCATCCCAGCATTATACCCCTGGATTAAATTCTGTTCTGCATGCAATCAGTGAAGATCCTTGTCTGTGAAACAACCACTGTCTAGCGCTTTTGTGGAGGATAATTGCCACAAAAACACAAAGGAACAGCAGCTCCCCTTACATGACAGCATCACTAGAGTTAAGTGAGAAAAGGTGGCTCTTGAACGATGGCTCCTCTGATACTGGAAACGTCTCATAAACACCAGCATTCGTCTGGCTTTCTTCTCAGGATAGCCGAAAAACAGCAAAAGCAGCAGCACAGAAATCAATTTTACATAAACCATTAGTTATTCATATTACTGCAGCAAATAAGACCTTATATTATGGTGCTTGGAGCAAAACATCTTTGCCTAAAAGCAATTACAATCCTGATGACATGCAAACAATTTTTAGAATACGCTGAAGTGCATAATCTACATCTATCCATAATAAACAACACTGCATACAGCTTTGCACCAGGCATCTAATATACTTTACAAAAGCTAGGCAAGCCTTACCCAGCACAAGGAAAGGAAGCACAGAAGTTTGCAACAAGGTCCAAGTCACAGTGAATCACTAGAAAAGCCAGGAAGATCATCTAGGCCTTTCATAAGATATTACCATGTCCTACCACTTCCCTTTTAGATGCAAATCTGGAGTTCAAAGTGTAATTAGTAAAGGCTAACCATACCTTAAAAGGTCAATTACCTTTGTGTTTTAAAATGTTTCAATGTCATCTACTACATTCTGCATGAAAGACGTTTGTTCCTGAGCAATTCAGGATTTTCCCAAAAGTAAGAATGAAGCAAATTCCTATTAATGCAGCCTACTTCAAATCAATAAAACCAATTAACATTACCTGTGCCCAGTGTGTTCTAAACACTATCATGCATGTTTCTGGGTCAACACCCTGCAGGCTCGGAGCCTGCCGATTTTTGCTGATACTGGTTCCAGAGGACATTATAAATTTTCCAAAGGTCAAGCCAACTAGGCCATGCTGGATTTCTTTTGAAAATCCTGTAGTTAGCTACAGATGTTCAAGCATCATGATGAGATTGATATTGTGTTTTGAGCTTTGGTATCCACAGAAATCTGTTTAAAAAACAAAACAAAACACACATATACCTATGCACATCAAATTATACCGTATAACGAAAAAGAACATATGTAAAGAGAACACTGAAACCTTTTTTCTTTTAATTCAGTTTGAGGATGGAATTTTTTAAAGCATGTTATATGGGACCATCTTCTCAAACTTTTCCTCATGATAATAGTTCCTAATGCTCAAACTTTTGAGATCAGTTACTGAATTAAGGTGCTACTGAAATAAATAAGCATAACAGAAGCTCATGCAGTAAACATTTTATGCATATGTCACTACATTTTATGCATATGTCACTACATTTTTAGTTTTTCATTATGACATTTTTGCCGTCTGACCATGTCTCTTCTCAGAGTTGCTTAGTAACTAATGTTGCATAGGCTATACAGGTAAAAAAAAGTACAGGTTATTTCTGTATTTTTGAAAACAATATTCATGTTTGAAAACAATATTTCCATGAATAGATATAATTACAAATACTTAAAGCTTTCTGTCAGAAAGCATATCATGAACAGTTGAAAACATCTGTAGAACACCATATGCAAGTAGAAGGATGCATCTGTATCAATACGAAAGTAACCAAAAACAAATGACATAAAAGATAAAACCTTCATGTATCCAAAGTCACATAAATTGAGATGTCATATTAAAGGACTATGAGAATAAGACCAAACACTGAAACATTCTTTTCACCCATTATTTAATATCCGAGATATCTGAGTATTAAAGTAGCAGCACACCTGCAGGGGAAAGTTAAAATGAAACAAAGACAGATATCTTCCAGATATTTGAGAGGCTTAAGAGAACATATTATTCCCTCAAGCACCAATATCTAAGTCACAGCCCCCCTTCTTTTTTTTTCTTTTTTTCCCCTCCATGAGCTTTACATTTTTATTCTCCTTTTTGCAAACCAAGTTTTGTTTTGGTGTGTGGGGGGGGGGGGGAGAAACCACCAAGAAAAAAACCCCACCAAAACCCACACCAAAAGCAAAAAAACCCCCAAACCAAACCACCACAACACCAACATACAAAGAGTTTAGGAAGACAACAAATGCACTACAAGTTCCAACAGCTCATCTAAATCATAGCAGCATTACATCTCTGCTCCCTGCATGTGTGCTCTGCTTGTATTCTTGAAACTGTTAGCACGGCAAAGCATACAGCCTGTCTCAAAAGTAACAGAAATTTTTGCCGTTTTCAAAATGTCCAAAAATACACAGGGCACAACTTTAAGACTTCTGAAGCAAACAAAAAGCAAAAGATGGTTATGCATTCCCCTGTATCTATATATGTATATTAATATGCTGAAGATTCAACAAGATTCAACTGCATGATCAGGGTCTTCCACCTCTATCCCAACCCTTGCTTCTTACAGCACGTAAGATGCATTTTCTAAACACTCTCATGCAATACAATTAACACAATCTAGTTTATCTTTTTTGCAGATAAAACATTCCATTTGTGGAGAAGCCAGCATAAATCCTGGACGGTTTATCTGTTTGGGTAACACTACTTCCAGAACGAAGCTGACACTCCATACAAGCTACTCACCAGATAATAAACTACCTGGAACCAGATGCACTGGAGAGCATTGTGCAAAACCAGTGAGAATTAGCTCATGAGAGCCAGCCAATGCTGGGAACAGAAGTAATCCCTTACAAAACATTATCGAAGTCTCTCTACTGCTTGCCCCCCTACTCCACTCACACCTCTCACCTGCCTATCTCTTCCATGCTCACACTGGCGTTACACTTTCAAGCACTCCCTCCCAACAGTTTGATTCATATGCTCATTTACTTGAAGGCACCTACCAGTATACTGCTCCTTCATAAACAGACCTGGAAAAATTAATAGTACTATTTCTACATTACTGATGTTCCTGCA